AGTAATTTTCAAAAAAAGCAGTTGAGTGTTTGGCTGACAAACTATTAGAAATATTTTTTTCTTTGTGGAAATTGGAAGTGCTTTTTAATATAAGAGGTTGTGTAAAATGACTATAAAGGACTTATAATATAAAATATAAATAAAAATTATAAACAATAAAAAGTAGTCAAAATGGATCTTGTTAAATTTCCTTTATATTTAATAATATGATTTAATAATTTTTTTTTAAATTATATAAATTAAATTAAATTAAATTTTCTGAAATAAAATTAAAATATGGTAAGGATAATCTTGTATTTTCAAAACAACTTTTCGCAGAAGCTCCAAATCGGAGCTTCTACTTTGATGTTCCCTATGTTTGGCTCGACTTTTAGAAGTGCTTTTCGGTTAAAAAGCTAAATGAAATTGTTATGATGTTAGGGCAACAATGCTGCATCCCCGCAAGGGGAACCATTCAACCATAGTTCTTAAATTCCGAGAATCTTCGCTATTAACTTTTCATTCTTTTGTTATTCATAATTAATATGAATATAGAAAAAAAAGAATCGACCGTTCGAGTATTTAAAATTTTCAAAAACTGAAGCCGGGCCAAACACCTCTAAAAGCTCGGATTTTGAAAAGCTGAAAAGCGCTTTTGTATAACATAAAAGCAGAACCTCCGATTTGGAGCTTCTGCAAAAAGCTGTTTTGAAAATACAAGATTATCCTTATAATATTTTAATCTAATTTCAGAAAATATAATTTTATTTCATTTCAATTGTTATAAAAATAAAATAAATTATAAAATCATTTTATTTAATATAAAAGAAATCTAACAAGATCCATATTGACTACTTTTTATTGTTTAGAATTTTTATTCATATTTTATATTCTAAATCTTTTATAGTTATTTTACATAACCTCTCATATTAAAAAGCACTTCTAATAGTTTTTCAGCCAAACACTCAACTAATTTTTTTTTTTGAAAAGTACTTCTCTTAAAACTCCAGCCAGAAGCTGCTATTGTCAAAGCTACAGTAGGGTCAAACTGAGCTGTTAAACAAAAGCGCTTTTCAGCTTTTCAAAAACCGAGCTTTTAAAGGTGTTTGACCCTACTTCAGATTTTGAAGTCGAAAAACACTTCTAAAAGCCGGGTCAGACATTACTGATTACACCCATAAAAATGAGTTAAAAAGAACAAAACTAGTAAGAAGGAGTCAAAACTTCCATAGAATAATTAATGGTGGAGTTTTTCTTCCTTTTCACCATTCAAAAATTCCAGCCCTCTCCTTAATTTCCGTTAGGGGCATTTTAGTCCAATTTTCTCCATTATTTTCTGTCTTCCCGCCCAAATGCCGTAGGAATTGGACCCTTAACTGCTAAAAATGCCTAAAACCCTTTATACTGCCCACATACAAAGCCCAACATATTAATTGACCAACAAACATTGATCTGGGCCCATCTTATCTATCGAACCTTTCTTTTATCAAGCTTTTTTTTCTTAAGATTTTATTAAGCTTTTAAGTTAGCATTTAGAAGTTAGAACTAATCAAACGAAAAAGTTTCCAGTTTGTACAGGAAAAAAGTAGCAAATTGTGCCCGTCATTAGTTTAATTAATTCCAAAATCTAGGTGGTAGAAATTGGTGCCAGGTGTGGTTCCTCGCTACGCATTTTGTGTATAACCACAACTGTTATGCTACCCACAAATCTCATATGACACTCGCTATAAATTTTCACTATGGCATTGAGTTATTTAGCCTTTTATGAATTTATCTCACTCCTTAAATTACCATTAATTTCCAGAACTATAGTGAAGCAATCATATCTTTGTGCAAACTATAGAGGACTGGTCCTCTGAACATTTTTGTCCGGTTAAATACTAAGTTTTGAAACTCTTCCTAGGGGTGTACGTGGGTCGGTTCGTTTGGGTTTAGATATTTTAATCACCTAACTCATATACCACGATTTTGAAAACACTAAATACAAACTCACCCAAATAATTTAGAATTTTAACGGTTTGTGTCGCTTAACTAAGGACGATCTCATTGTCCAAACCCATCATATGGATGTCAATCCATAAAAGTACCCATATTCGTGTTTGTTAACACATGTTTCACATTGTCATTACTGTGACCGGTAACTTCGCTGCAACTGATTCGGTATTGCTCATCATATGGCCTCCAAACTGATAAACATATCGGGCCAACAGTTTTATGACAAAACTCAAAGTGTAGACAACTCATCGTCTGGTGAAATTTTGGCGCTTGCTGGTGTCCATTAATCTAATGGAAGCATACTGATTGCTAAAATTAAGCTTTCACGCAACACACAAGGAGTTGGTGGTGTGAACTTGGAGTAAAAGTTGATATTGGGTTTGCGAAGGGAAGTGGTGAGAGGAAGAAATTGTGTTTGGATTTGGTAGCAGGTAAAGTTCATGGTTCGGTTTCTTTTCGTAAAATGCTTTGATTTATTTTAGTTGAGGTATAATATCATGGTTATGTGGATCAAATGAACCAAAAATGAGTTTGGGGGGATGGGAATTCCAACTTAGAAGGAGTGGATTAGATTTTGATAAACTCAAGTTCATGATTAACTGAAAGAATATTTAGATTTAGACTTTGTGGTATTGAGATGTTCATAGAGAGTTTAAAACTGATCTAAGGCCATGGATTGATATTGGTTAGTTGATTGTGACTTTGAGGAAGGTGTATAAAATAGTTTGCAGCAAGTGAAGGCAATGAAGAGGCAGTTGGTCAGGGTAGGGATTGAACCAAGGAGGGTATTGAAATACATAGAAGCAAAATCGGAGCAGTTGAAGAGAGAGAAGTGGTAGATGATCAAGATATTAATGAAAATGGAGAGGGTATTGAAGGGCATGGCAGTGAACTGGATCAGGTGAAGGCAGAGAAGAGGAGAAGAGCATATTGATGGAATTGAAGATGAGTGTTAATTTTACGAGCTTATTAAAACTGCCCCGAGGAAGATGAGTTGGCCAAATACAAGAAAGAGGGTTGAGGAGTTGGAGATCAATCTGACAAGAAACTCAACTGAAACAGAAATTCAGGTTCATGGAGAGAAGGTCCATCAAAGTAGCATAAATGGAGTTGCAGAAGGAAGATTAGAAATTGAATTTTGGTTTAAAACATATACGTCGAGAGATTGAAGATGGAGGGGATAAAAAGGTGGTTGTACAACGGAGAGTGGAAACTATTGGATCTTTAGGTGTTATGGTTGTTGCAACTACCATATCTATGTTTATGTTAAACGGAGGAATCATTGATTGATTTACTAAAGTTAAGGTCAATTCACTATTCAAACTACTGGAACCTTTAGATAATGAGTGTCTAATTTTGTGTCTCATTACTTTGATCGAGTCTATTAGTATATTGGATGTGACTTTAATTTTGTCATTTGCTCTCAAGTTTTGATGGTCTCCTTTTAGTTGAGTTGTTAGCATATGATTTACTTGAATCAACAACTCTTCATTTCTGTTTTTTTTTTTATAAATCCATTTCTTTTTTATTAGTGGCATGTTATTCATAGAGAAGAGCTTTGAACCATTTATGTGGGATTGTGAGGTTTCATTTCAGTTTCAAACTATCTATGGATCGTGTGGGAATTCGAGCTTTTATATTGCCTATGTTTGGCCCGGCTTTTAGAAGTGCTTTTCGGCTTCAAAAGCTTAAGCAGGGCCAAACACCTCTAAAAGCTCGGCTTTTGAAAAGCCGAAAAGCGCTTTTGTATAACATAAAAGCAGAAGCTCCGATTTGGAGCTTCTGCGAAAAACTGTTTTGAAAATACAAGATTATCCTTACCATATTTTAATTTTATTTCAGAAAATATAATTTTCCTTCATTTATATCATTTTAAAAATAAAATAAATTATAAAATCATATTATTTAATATAAAAGAAATCTAACAAGATCCATTTTGACTACTTTTTATTGTTTCGAATTTTTATTTATATTTTATATTATAAGTCCTTTATAGTCATTTTACACAACCGCTCATATTAAAAAGCACTTCTAATAGTTTTACAGCCAAACACTAAACTGCTTTTTTTGAAAAGTACTTATCTAAAAGCTCCAGCCAGAAGCTGCTTCTGCAAAAGCTACAGCAGGGCCAAACTAAGCTATTATATATTTCTGGACAATCTATTAACCAATATCATTTTAATGGGGGCTCAATTATCATTATAAAAATGAGATTAATGATACATTTGTATATTCTTAAATGAGGAGGGTATTTCACTGAATGTTCGACCTATATATTCATTCTGTATGTAGCATCTCGATTGAATGATTTTCAATAAACTTAAACGAATTAATAGACTTAAACATAAAATATAAATATAAATATTAAAATATGAACATTCCGGCCAACGGGCCGGGTTATAAGCTAGTTTTATTTGATGGATGAGTCTCCATAATCTTGTTGCTTCCGTAATCCAAGGTTCCATATCGATTATATCATAATAATTATCCATCCTTAACAACAGCAACAGCCCCTTTTTTTTTTAGCTTTTCCACTGGATTTCCATCTCACAACAAAATTTCAGCCAGCTGCCGGAAAACGAAAAAAGGGCAAACAAATAGAAATTTGTACATAACAAATAATTAAAAAACATTAATAAAATCTAGAGTGTCGTTTCCGTAACGTCTCTCCGAAGATACACACACGCGGACTCCAGCGTTCAGTCCAGTTCCCCAATTAATCCGTTTACCTTTTTTTTTTTTTGACAAAATTAATCCGTTTACCTTCCTTCTCACAAAATGAGGAAAATGAGAAAATACTCTTCACTCGCATAATCCTCACTCTCTCTCATTCTACTCGCTTCCACGCGCTGCCAGAAACAAGCAATCATCAGCATAAAGCAAGACAACTCGATTCGCGTCTGTTTCCCACCCCCGAATCCCCGCGGTTGGTTTTGCGGAAAATAAAAAGAAAGCCATCACCTCCGTGACTTTTCTTTCTCTTTTATATAATTTTAATCGTTTTTTGGGTTCCCGAGAAAGAAATTGGAAACCAGGAAAAAATAAAAATGCTTAGTACGACAGTTATGCTCCCAAATCTCGCCTAAAACAATCAACGTTGCTCTCTTCCTTCCTGCGTTGCCCCACCTCCGCCTCCTCCCTCGCCGGCCACCATCAGCGCTAACGGTAACATTGCCCGGCGGGCTGATTCCGCTCTATTTTAGTAACTTCCACACTCGAAATTCTCTCTCTGTCTCTCCCTCGTCGTACTTCCACCACTCCTCCCTCCACCTCTCCCGTCTGTGCTGTCCAGCTCTCCTTTCCTCCATCCAGTGGAGGATTTCATTTGTACAAGGCGGTGGTAAAATCCTAGGGTTTTGGAGAGTGAAGGGGACGGGGGATAAATGAATTGGGAGTTGGATGCTGAGTTTCGACAATGGTAGCTGCAGTTTCTGCTCAGATAAACCCTCCGAAGCCGAGGCCAACACCGCAAAACCAGAACCCTACCAGGCCGCCTCTGCTGCCCTCGGAATCGGACAATGCTCTCGCTCCTCGCCGCCCCAAGCCTCGGGAAGTTACTTCTCGCTACATGTACTCTTCTTCTTCGTCGTCTTCGGCCGCCAAACGCTGCCCCTCGCCCTTGATTTCCCGGCCCAAGACTCCCACCACGCCGTCTGTTCCTTCAACGATTAAGCGCTCGCAGTCCGTCGAGAGGAGGAGGTCCGCTATCCCTACCGGCCGCCCTAATTCCGAGGATGTGAGGATCGCGAATGGACACGGCGCCGGTGCAGGCGAAATGACGAATGCGCAGAAGATGTTGATTTCCTCGACGAGAAGCTTATCCGTGTCGTTTCAGGGAGAATCGTTTGCGCTCCAGGTGAGTAAAGCGAAGCCGGCTCCATCACCGGTTAGCGCGAGGAAAGGAACGCCGGAGCGACGGAGAGCTACGCCTACGCGAACGGATCAAGCGGAGAATAATAGTTCCAGGTCTGCGGAACTGCAGCACCGGTGGCCGGGGAGATTGCGGGAGCCGCCGAATTCCATGACGAGGAGCGTTGATTATACTACAGAGAGGAAGAGAGCTATCGGATCTGGCGTCAGTGCCAACGTTGTGAGAGCACTGCATAGATTGGATAGTAGGTCCTCAATTGAGAGCAGATTGAGCTCTGATTCCAGCAATGTCGGTGAACCAGAAAGGCTAGTCGGAATCAGCGGATCCGAAGCACACTCTGATCCTCGTTTGCCTTCCGATACTGAAAGTGTATCCTCCAGTACAACTTCAGAAGGAAGTAACAACGCCGGCGGGCAATTCCGCAAGGGTGGACGTGGGTTAATTGTTCCGGCGAGGTTTTGGCAAGAGAATAACAACAGAGTCCGTCGCCAACCACCTGACTCCTGTTCACCTTCCAAGTTTGCAGCGTCCAGAACAACTTCACAGCAGAAAATCATGCCGCCCAGGAAGCTTGGAATTGAGAGTCCAGTTTCTTCACCAAAAGGTGTTATCAATACAAAGGGGCAATCGTCTCCCTTACGAAGGCCTGCTTCACCTAGTAAGATCGGGGCGGTGTCAGCAATGGCGACACCTGTGAGGGGTATGAGCCCTTCAAGAACGAGGAATCCACTAGGAGGCGCAACGAGCAATTTTGGTAATACTTCAACTCTTTCTATTTTGAGCTTTGGTGCTGATATTAGGAGAGTGAGAGGTGGCGAGACTCGGCTTGTTGAGGTGCACCATTTGAGAATTTTGTATAATCGACTGTTGCAATGGCGGTTTGTCAACGCCAGGGCTGATGGTGCCCTCTCCGTTCAGAGCTCGAATGCAGAGGTATGCTTGCTGTTTCTTCCTGGTCATTAACTGAGCAAGGTTTTCTGTTTGTTGCCTTCATGCACATTGACTTATCACAAATGCACTCCCAATCTCAGTTATTTACTTAAGCTGTGAATGAAAACTTGCTGTTAAATCCTCAGTGGGAAACTTAATAATTAGGAACAGTAGATGGAGGGCTGCAAAAATGTCTGGTCTACTTGATGCTATATACTTATTTAGGAAGATCATTCAATGATTTAGTGGTTAGTTAAAAGATGACCTTGACTTTGCACAATTATTATCTACTGAATCTGGAATACCAATATGGAAATTTGTATGTCGTTTTGAAAATAATTGACAGGAAAAAAAAAGGAAATCTGGCATCCAAATATGACTGATATATAGTTATGTGGGTATTGGTGTTGCTGGTAGACTTTACTAGTAATCTAACAGCTGTTAGATCATGTGTTGCTTAAAATAGATTCAATAGATAGTTCTCTGGTATTATGCGCCCACTATGTGTTTAACTAGTGGCTTAGATCAAAGTCATAATGCTGGTGGAGAAGTATAGTTCGTAGAGTAATATGGATTTGTGTGATAGGAGCCAAAGACAGATCATAGAACTTCGAGTTGAATGCCTAATTCCGTGAGTGTTACTCCAGCAACTTGTCCACTGAATATCCAATGAGTTCCTGGTGTCTGAGTAAAATAGAGAAAAAGGCTGGAGACACATCTCCATAAGCACTTGTGTTTATGCGTCAGATAGGAGCACTGGTATGAGAAAGACGTAAGGGTACTGCCATAGAATGACGTCTTCCAAGGGCTGGTGATATAATGCAATTGTGAGGAAACTTTAGGTTGATTTTTAGTAACTGTGATCCGTAAAGTGCTGGTGAGTAAGAATATTGGTGGATGTTTGATGTCTTTAGAATTAAAGACTGGAGGGCGGTAGCAGGAAGAGATATGTTCTTTGGATAATGCACTTCATAAATTGGTATTGTTACTGTCATATATGTCTCACCTGTGTACTACCTCAAAAGAAGACTTCGCACCCCCATCCAACTTGTGCAAACCAATGTGCAATGGTCATGCATATGATTTAGAAATTGAAATTTGAAGAGGACATAGTTTCTGAAACCATGTCTTAAGTACCTGGTTATTTTTTGGCCGTAGGACAAAGACATTGGGAATGTGTGCTTTAGGAACTTGATCAGGTAGTCATATGTAAAGTGTTTTAAATCCGTAGGTTTGTCATATATAGTGTACAAGCACTCTGTAAATTTAGCTGTCTGGATTCATGTATGTTTAGTAATTAGGGGATACAATGTTTAGAATGCTTGCCATTTTTTCATGCTCCTCTCGTCTCCTTTTTCAATACAGTTAAACATGTGTAGGTCATAAGCATTTCATTCTGAAGAGTTATTTCTGTCTGTATCAGAAAAGCCTGCACAGTGCACATGCAGCAACAACAAGACTGCGGGAATCGGTTAGAACAAAGAGAACTGAATTACAATGGTTTAGGCAGAATGTGAAGCTGATTTCTGTGCTGAGAGGGCAGGTAACAAGCTAACTATTTATTGCTACCATTTTGTCAGTTTCTCTGTCTCTGCACTGGTTTCTACGACTTCTCTGGTTGGCCATATGATGCATCATTTTAATGCCATATGTTTCATCTTCCAAATTTTCTAAATTTCCTCTAGATGCATAAATGGTATTCTAATTTCCATGGGAACCCATATATCAACTACTTTTAGCATGTCAAATAAGTTATCTTGTTAAATTGACCCCCTCAAATTAATGTGTATTTTCTTTCAGTTTTTATAGTTCCAATTTTTTCATTCTTACAATTGGCCCCTGGCAATCTTCATTATTGTGGATGGCTGCAGATGGAATATCTAGAGGAGTTTGCACTCTTGGAACAGAATTACTCCTGTTCTTTATCAGGGGCCATTGAAGCTTTACAAGCAAGCACACTCCGCCTGCCTGTTGTTGGTGGAGCACGGGTACTATGCCCTGTTCTTTTCTATTTTCCTTCTAGTTTTGCTTACACGAACATGAGTTTTATTCTGAATACCCAGAAGCTGAGACTTATGGTAATGAGATATAAAGCAAAACATCCGTCCACCTTAAGTTCAAAATTTGGAGCTGAATTTCATTAAATTACACCAGATCTGATAAATTCGTCATCTTCTTTATTCTTGCAGGCAGATACTCAGAATGTGAAGGAGGCTATCTATTCAGCGGTCGATGTGATGCACGCCATGGGATCTTCCATACGCTCTTTGCTAACAAAGGTCTGTCATTCTCCCTCTCTCTTCGTAAGCATTTTATGAAACATCGTTATCCGTAGTGCATCATTGTGGCCTTATTGTTTGGCTATATGGTTGGCAGGTTGGGGAGATGAATTCTCTTGTGGCAGAACTTGGTAGCATGTCTGCAAAGGAGCTTTCATCACTTGATGAGTGCAGAGACCTGTTGAAAATGCTGACAACGACACAGGTGAGTTGTGGTTTGGGTTCCGAGGATTTGCTGCAGTGGTTTTGACTGTCATTCACGAGTCTTCTTCATCCATTTTGCAGGTGAAAGAATGTAGCTTGCGTACACACATTGCACAACTAGGAGGCCTATGTGCCGGTGTGACAACAGCAATGTAAAGCTCCCCCGCTCCCACATTGACTCCCACTTCCCAAAGGACAGCTAACTGAAAAAAACACGTTCGTTGGTTCTTCCTCTGATGAAAGGAATAAGCGGTAAGACGTAGCTCTGAGATTGGATTGTTGTTTATGGCGTACAGGCTGAAGAAGAGTGGTTTTACATATATATATGAATTAGGGCTTAGTTATTATATTTTTGGGTTGCGGATTAGTACCTATATCCAAAAGTTAGATTGTATAGAGAAAGTTGATTTCCACACAATAGTCAGTAACTCGGTAAGTCCTAGGTAAGTAGTAAGCAAGATACAAAGAGAAATGGAAAAGGGAAAGAAAAAAAGAAGAAGCATGCACCTGTAAATATACATATTGTAATGATGGTTCCCAGGTGTTCATTTATTCAACGGCTGCTCGTGCTTATCATTATTGGGTGAATTGCAAGTTTGGTCACCCATATTACACTTTTGTAACACGTTAGCCACACGAATCAATTTCGCTTCAATTCAGCCACCGATAATACACCTATGTGTCATCATTGGTCACTCGCCGTTACACACTGTCAACGCCGTTATACTTATGCTGACGTGGCAAACGGGGTGCCAAGCTGGAACACGGAAAGCTGTTTTTTAGTCCAACTAATCGCTGACATGGCTTGGGCGGGAAAAAAAAGTGGTTTTCCCTCCCATTCTTCCATCTATATTATGGTTAATTTCCCCAATCAAAGCCCCCTTCGACAGAACCTTCTTCTTCGAGCTTGAGAAATGGCCGGTCCCTGCTGTCATTGTGGAGATCCAGCCGATCTGAGAACGAGTTGGACAGATGCAAATCCGGGCAGGAGGTTTTACGGGTGCGCAAAGTTTGGAGTAAGACCAACTCCCCGTCTTCTTCCTCTCTTCTTCTTCTTCTTCTTCTTCTTCTTCTTCTTCTTCTTCTTCTTCTTCTTCTTCTTCTTCTTCTTCTTCTTCTTCCTGTGCTTTTCTTTCTTCTGCTGCTCTGTTCAACCGCTGTTGCTCTTTTCAATCGCTGGGTTCTCAAAAAAAAATTTCCTTGTTTTGCGTTTGTACAGAGAACGGGAGCTTGCAACTACTTTAGATGGCATGACCCGACTCTTGATGAGAACGTGAAGTATTTGGTTCTCCACCTCCATCGTCGGCTGCGCGAGCTGGAGAATAGGCAGCAAGGGAGGGTGTCGACTTTTAGTAGCAAAGAAGTGCTACTCTTCCTTTTCTCTGCAGCTTTGTTCTTTTGTCTTTGGAAAGGGAATTAAGAATGGGTGAGTCTGATGGGGGCATGCAATCTGTAGTCAAATTTGATAGGGAATTAAGAATGGGTGGGTCTGATGGGGAATGATGCAATGTGTATTCACAGCTGCTGTAGTCGGATTTTAAATGCCGATTGTGTTTGTTATTAATCGTAATCAAAATGTTAATTGTGTTTGTGTTTAACTTGCAAGGTGTAATGTGTGTTGTGTGTGTTGTGTCATGTACTTTGAAGTTGAGTATCTGGTGATGGAAGCTGAATGTCATGAAAGAAAAGAACATCATCATTGTTAATAAACCTGCTTGGAAATCAAAAGGTGGAAGACAAAGAACAAAAGGCTTGCTATCATTCTTAATAGTCATCTGATTAGATAACAGTCTAGAAAGATCACAAAATGAGCAAGTCATCATCATCATCCGATTTATAAGATGACGACCACAATGCCTCTTCTCACAGTTAGGAAAGGTGTCATCTAGTGCTGGAAGAAGACCCTGTGTATGAAAAATAAACACCCTATTAGTGTGTCTTTATCGCCTCAACCAACAAATTCTTGCTACTGAATTTTTGATCAAGGGAGAACTTTGGGTTCTCCTTGTCTCGATCCACACGAAACTCAGACACATGTGCATCATCGGAGTCATCCTCTGAACTGTGAACAGTTCTACAATCATCAGAGTCGACAAAATCTGACTCTTCTTCTACGTCATCTTCCATCTCATTTTCTCCGTCTCCACCAATAATTCTGCCCAAGTCAGCTTCTACATCCATATTGCAATTCTCCTCAAATTCTTCATTGTCATGATCAGTGCTGGCCATTTCAAAATTACCCTCGTAGTCACTGTCATCGTTATCTTCGTCTGCATTGTAGTCCTCATCATCTTCATCGGAAGCACCACAATGTAAGGCCTCCTTTCTCGAACAGTCGGCTGCATCTTCATCCACATCACTACTCAAAAGATCCTCCACTTCATTCTCTCCAATAGCAAAAAGCTCAATGATTCGAGGAGGATTATTAGCTGCTACAGCCATGTCCAGCAAGTCCCTATCGTTAGAAATCTCCGTCATTGACTCACTGGTGAGAGCTTTCCAATAGAATCTTGGATTTTGAATCTTCCCACCACACTTCTCATATATGTCAGCCAAGTCCAAGAGAGACAACTCATCGATGTCGGCATAGTCATAGATAACAGATTCTTTCTCCTTCAAGAAGTGTTTGCCACTCTTCTTCTTTAACTCGTGGTCTACATGAACTTCAAACGAAAACTCACCACTGCATGGACCTGTTTACAAATTGTTGGTGAGCAGTATGTAAGAAAGTGAATGCGAAACAAATGTGGGTTAAAAGCATAAAGACAAAATTGAAAGCGATGGAACTTACGATAGTTGGGTAGGGAACCATTTGGGGGCCGCACATGACCCACCATGATTCTCGATGAAGAGTCGGACAACCTGGAAAGGAACAACACCAACTTGCAATTTAAGTTTAAAGAATCAAACATCCACCTGGAAAAACTCGAAGTTGTCCTTTTCCCTTTCCTTTTGTTTATAATAAACCCACTGAACCCTAAACAAACTCCAACCAAAACAAACTCCATTAACAGAATAGGTACCTTCAGATATGCTCCTTTGTTGCACGCCAACCCCCAAAAAGAAGAGTAACGAGAATCGACAGCAAACTTCAATAGATGGATTTAGGGTTTCACTTTTCTCCATCCATCTGAGCATACAATCGCAGGAAACTTGTGACGCCTGGAAAACTGAACGAAAGAGAAGAAGAGAAGAAACGGCCAGCGGAAGAAAGATTCAAAGAGGAGGAAAATCAATCACTCTTCCCCTGCTCTGGAAATTCGAACGAGAGGAAGAAGAAAGGGAGATGACGAGGGCCTTTCGTTTCTTCTGCCCTTATCCAATCTATTTTAATTTTTGTTACTTAATTGGGTTGGGCAAACGGGTCGGGTTTTTAGGTCAATGGTCGGGGTTTTCCAGAGGGTACGGGTCGGGTGTGTTGTTCTCAATTAAAGCCTCTGACTCAGCATTCCGTGTTCCAGCTTGGCACCCCGTTTGCCACGTCAGCAAAAGTATAACGGCGTTGACAGTGTGTAACGGCGAGTGACTAATGATGACATAAAGGTGTATTATCAGTGGCTGAATTGGAGCGAAATTGATTCGGGTGGCTAACGTGTTACAAAAGTGTAATATGGGTGACCAAACTTGCAATTCACCCTATCATTATTACTTGTGTCAAATCTGTATTCTCCTGCGTGGTTTTGGTTTAGACGATAGTTTGGTTGGGATAGTGATAATACGATAGTTTGGTTGGGATAGTGATAATACATGTATTATTCACAATGTGCCGTTTTTTTAATTTTCTGCACAAACAATACATGCATTGTTTGCTTGATGTGATGGAAACTATCACTCAAAATAAGTGATAGGTTTATTTCTATTAAAACTTGCGATTGTTGAGATAGTTTTGAGGAGATTGTTGGGTTTTCTTTTTGTTCCAATTATACCCTTATTTGTATATATATGTTCTCATAAAAGCAAGGACAAAAGTGACATTTCTCACAAAAAGTAAAATAACATGTTGAATACTAAAAGAACTATAACCAAAATCAAACAATGTAAAGGAGATTACATCATCATTCTTAATTGCATGTATATTACAATGCATGCATTGACCACAATGCATTGATTTAAGTATCACCAGCCCTCTCATCACAAATTTCTCCATGGTCGTCAAGAACAATGACACCATAAGCTCTTTTTTTTTTGGGGGCGTATATGATACCTGGGCTACAGGGGGGATGTAAGAAAAATTACCGCCTTCTGGGGGTCACAAATAAATGACCCATTACAGTGTATCTCAAAGAGAGGAATACTCGACGGTGAAGATGATCGGATCAGGGATGTCCTAGGCTGGCGAGGTGGAGGATTTAGAATCATGGGTGGGCGAGGACATGTCGCCCAAAAATCAGCATCCTTGATGGCCTTGTTACACGTGGCTGGTGGCCACAAACTGGTCGCTCTGAAGATCTTCTCATTTCTTGCTTTACAGATATGCCAAGTAAGCAAGATGATTGCCTGGATGGAGTGCACAAGAGAACTCTGATGAAGGCTAAAAAGCCAATCTAGAACCGGAACACCCTTCGGAGGAACAAGCAAGAAGGGAACATTGCCATCCAAGACGGCTGTGCATGATGGCATTGGAAAAGGCAGTGGTGAATGGTTTCCGCATGGAGCAAGCAGAGTGGACAGTTCGGTGACGGGGAGCATTTCGTAGAGTAAAGTTTACTTTTTGTTGTAAGAGCTCCACGAGTCCAGATAAAGAATTCCATATTAGGAGGAATTGAGAGGCTCCATAACCATTTTCATTTATCCCTTTCCATCTAGGATGGTGGGTCCCAGATCGTGTGGTATTCCTTTTCTGCTCATAGAAGAAGGGGTAAGCAGAGCAAACTGAAAAAATGCACTCAGGATGGGGTCCCCATGCCCATAAATCCTCTGCTTCTTCAGTGCTAATAAGGACTCTTCCAATATGTTGCAGAATATCAAGATCAAGCGAATGCGGAAAAATCTGGAAGTTCCACGATCGGCTCGGGCCGTCAATCCAATCAGCCACCCACTTGTCATCATTGATCCCCACCGAAATGGTCTCTCCATTCATTTACGGGATCCGCGGGTTTTTGAAAACTCTAGTACTCTGTTCGTTCCCAACTACTCTGATCGTTCCTTTCCTCACAAGGTTTCTTGCTTCCCACAAGCTTGCCCAAATCCAAGAGTGATGCGCCCCATTTCTGGACGAGAGGAAATTCGATCTTGGGAGTATAATCCTATAAGGAGTCTGCCCTAGAGAGAGTTTGGGGTTACCATTGTTGTTGATTTAGCCGATGTATGCATAGATATATTTCAAATGGGAAATCATGAATTTAAAATCTTCCTGTAACTTAAATTTACTAAACGACTAAACGTCGCCCTAGATATACTAGAATCGTCCTAACTTAAAATGTAAAATTACTAAATTATCCTTTATTAATCAAACAAAATTGAACAAAAACAAATAACCATTTATCAAACAAAATTGAACAAAAACAATCATCACCTTTCTAGATCCATTGGACACGAGATTTCTGTATAAAAAAATCATCTGACTGTTGAGTATTCCAAGCTACTGATGTCATATTGA